GATTAAATGAGTATGTTTTGTTCTAATTTTCATATTCTATTAGTATTGCTAGATTTGTAGGCTACTGTTCTTCTTAAAAAAAGCTCTCCATTCGATGTTGTGTTTACCTTTAATTTCAATGTTATATACAGTGTAAAACTTAATTTTTAAATTCATCACACCAGAATGATAACTGTTTTATTTGTATATTTAATTCATCAGTCTGTTTAAATACATAATTAAATAAATATCTTACCTTCAGTACTCCCGGTCAGGGTATGAGCTATCCCTATTAAGGGCAACTCCTTCTGCGGCCTGGGAATCGCAGAGGCTAATTGGTACATGCGTCTCCTCCTGAACCTAAACATTATGAACCACATCACAATACAAAGGCACAATAACCAGAGAAACATGACGCCCAACCACTGAAGTATTTCGCGCGGAGACTTTGATATTGGCGGTATTTGTCGCGTCTCTGTAGCAGCGAGATGCAATGTCTTGTATATATACATTTTGCTGCTAATGTACAAATCACAGATCACTCCACTGCGGCTTAAGCAGCCTTGACGTTGAACAGTTCATGGCGTGGTCAAACGTGCAATAATAATAATCTGCGATTGCACGGTACTCGTTATTACAACTGATTAGTTTTTTTTTTCTGAATTCCTTTATAATCATTTTCCAATTAGTACAATTTCCAACCTGTACATTACAATTGCAGTTATTTTTTGTTGATCCTATCGTCTTTAATTTTAATTAGTCACGACATTTCCGATATCTTATGTGTCTAATAAGTTCATTGTAAAAAAGATAACTAATTACTACATTAAACCTTAGAAAAATGAAACCAAAATTCACATGTAGCCCATCTTATTCTATTATAAGTTTTATACAATCTAAACGTGCATTTGTTGAAAACTGCAAATTTCTTTAAGTTCTTTAACGATCTTTTTATAATTTATGCACGTTTTATTCATGGATGGACATTTTTTTAATTAATTCATGAGACTCAATAGTCTCACTTAATTACAGGGAAGAATGCATTTATATTTATTTTTTAATTCATAATTAAATTCATGTTTATATGTAAGAAATATTTTTTTAGTTAATTTAGTTTAATTTTAATGTAAATCAAAAGCGATTAATAGTTAAATCACTTTGTGTTGCAGTTCAATTTAGTAAATTTGTGTGATTTCTCATTGCATTCAACGACAGACTTTTATAATACTTTGAGCCAGCAATTTCTCATTGGCACTCATTCCGCTTCGTGCTCTCGTACGGATCGTACGTCTCCTCTAAAACGGAGGGCACATGCCACCCGAATTAGAAGCTACTCGCAACCCCGGTTGCAATTTAAATCTTGTGCAAACAGTGGCGGCATTGTTTTATTTATTAACTGTGTGCTTGTTGCAATAGGCGCCAGCTAGGTTCCCACACTAGCGCACCTAAAGCACAGGCGAATAAGTTGTTATTTTAGGCAAACTTCTCCCTGCCGCAAGGTAGGGAGGCTTATTTAGCTCACCCACGCCGTCGCGGTTACAAGTCCAAAGGCACATACGTCGCGATGGGCTCTCTTTTCGAGGAGTTCGTGCACAAGGAATGCTCCGCTATGTGGGAACGTTATCTTGCAGCCGAGCCGAGGCAAGAAGCTGAACTTGCCTCACCGGCAATCGCGTCGCTGCCATCTCCCGCGCCCTCTGCGCCCGTTACCCGGACGCCTTCCGCAACATAAACAACGACGGTCGTTTCGGCATCCACCGCCGCGATCTCATCCGTCGCGCCTTCCACGCAATCCAGTTGGACCTTCTTCCGCCCCGTCGTACCCGACTTACAATCGGATGGCGTATCAGACATGGAGGTCGAAACGACCCCCGCCGATAACGCCAATGACGACAGTTTCACCGTCGTTAAATCCTGAAAAAAGTAGACAGCGAGGCCGCCACGTCATCAATCCGTCCCACCACGACGCCCACTAAAAAGGCGGCCGCGGCAGTTATACCGGCACCCGAATTCGCCGCCGAACGCAAAATAAAGCCTCCACCCATCATCATCCAGGAGAAGGCTAAATGGCACCAGATTTGCTCGTGATTCGAACGCCACAACATCCACGACCCCCGGTCAAAAAACACACACCAAGGTATCCGCGAATACCTTGATACTCCGACGACTTCCGCCACGTAACCAAATACTTGCGCGAAAATAAAGTAGGCTTTCACACCTACTCCTTGCCCGAAGAACGCAAACTTCGAGTGGTAGTCAAGGGCATCACCAAAGAGTCGGATGTCTAAAAGAAAGAAGAGGCTTAAATCGACATCCGCACTCAGGGATACCCGATGCATGCCGTCCGTCGCCTTAGACACCCTAGAACTCGTGTCCCGATGGACATGGTAATGGTGAAACTTGACCCTACCCCGGAAGGTAAGGCCATCTTCAACCTAAAGAGGCTCTGTGGGCTCAGCGATCGCGTCGTCGAGCCCCCGCGTAAGTCAGGAGTTGTTGCGCAGTGTCATAACTGCCAACACTATGGCCACACGGCACGAAATTGTTTCGCTCACCCAAGGTGCGTCAAATGCACCGGTGACCACGGCACGCCCGAGTTTACGCGGCCGAAATATTGCGCAGATCCATCGGACTGCGTTAATTGCTTAACTACCGGCCACCCGGCTAGTTACAGGGGCTGCGTTTAAACTCCCAAAACCCCACGAGAAAAGCGCTCGCGAAAATCACTCTCGTGAAATCCGCGCCCGCGAACTTTATCGCCGCGCCGCCACATCTGGCCCCGACCGGGATTAGCACTATAATAAACTTAAAATTTCTAAAAAGCAATCGCGACATCTCTCGTTCGAATTATCATTATAAAACGATATTAGAAATTGTTTGTATGCTGGAAAGGATATAACAATAGATGCGCCAAGCATTGCTTCAAATGACGTACAGATTTTCGTCGGTATGGCAATCAGCCGTATCTTAGATAGCGGGTTAAATTCAATCACTAATAAAAAAAATGAGTTTAATCAAATGATTTTTTTAACAGCGACATTAAAAACGGGAGAAATCTAAATTGTCGTCAGCCATATTTATTAATTGAATTACAAGTTGTCAGATTTGAAAAATTCTTGCTAGGAAGCGTTGCTTCAGGAAGGCTTATAAAGCACGATATAAAATGTCATACCGAAAAGCTATCATTAATATTAAACTACATGTGAATCTAAAATAGCCAAATATCGATAGTATCTTACAACTAAAGTTACTTTACTTCACTATTTATATAAAGTTGACAAAATTCAATTATAAACAAATTCTCAATTAAATGTCACAGTTTATAAAAAAGTTAAGTATCAGCCTGAAGATGACAAGCGAGCTGGCGGTTCACGTGATGTTAAGTGATAACCACCGCCCATTGACATTTACTAAAACCGTAGGCTTGCAGATGCGTTGCAATATTTTAATAATGTGAGCCCCTCATTTACTACCTCGCTTACCAGACGAAACGCAGAATTACAACATACGACGGTCATTTGAGAGGTCGCAGTACTTATCCGAACGGACCTGTCCATTCATGCAACGAAAAATAAGATTGAATTTCTGTAGCACTTGCCCCGTGCTAAATGTTTTGGAAAAGTTAAAATCAAAATCAAAATTAAAATCAAAAATAGATTTATTCATATAGACGCTTGCGCGTTCTTATGAAACGTCAATATTTAACATAAAAATTAATACGTTCGTAAGAAAGCTACCACCGGTTCGGAAAGCAGTTTCTGTTTAGAAGAAACCGGCAAGAAACTCGACAGTTAACGCACGTTATACGTAGGCGTTACAATAAATTGAATACGCAACGGCTTTTTCAAAGCGGAATGAAAAGTTCTCAAAGTCAATTTTTATAATTAGGTATATCAAATTTAAACACAGATTGTTCTGAACATGGACATAAGACAATAAGTTATACATTGCATTATATAGGGTCACCGAAGCATACAATCTCTATCTGCCTAGCCGACACCAAGGATGTTACATCCACAAACGCACAAGTATTGTCAAATTAAACGTATTAAAAATTTCGTTTCGTCTTTTCTTATTTAGGCAAGGTCTGATGGTATCCAAATGCTAGCCATAGTTTTTACAACATCAACCGCATTTCCTGCGAGTTGAGGTTTAATCTTTGCTCAAGTGCCAAAAACGAATCTCATAATAAGAAGCTCTAAAGGAAAATTAAAAAAGCGATAAAATAAATTTGTTTTTATACTATTTGTTCTTTTCTAGATATATTTTAATCTGACACCGCTACAACTTAATGATCCCAATGAACAAATATCTTTTATTATTTTTTATTGCCGGAGTACTTTATCACTACATAGTATAAAACAAAGTCGTCCCGCTGTCTGTCTGTTCCGACGTATGTGGAGATCTGTAAAACTACGCAACAGATCTTGATGCGTTTTTTTTACTAGATAGAGTGATTCAAGAGGAAGGTTTATACCTATAACACATTGCAATCGTGCGAAGCCGTTGCGGGTCGCCAGTTTTTTATACATTTTCATACCAACTCCTCATATTCATAAGAAAATTTGCATTGTAGCCCACATTTTGCGTAATGACTTTCTAGGTTCATAACTTGATTTAGAATTTCAAAAGTAATCCCTAGTGCGAAAGTTTTTTAAAAGTTATTTAAACGATACATATTTTTAGGTTTCATATTATTTATTATACAGCTTTCGAAAGTATCGTTTCTAATTTTAATAATATTTAAAAACATGTAAATCTCTTGAACGTATGAATAATAACATCTAGCTACAGAACCAGAGACTGTTTAACTTTTCTTCTTTATTCACTCTGCTCTAAGATTTAATAGCAATTGTACTTCCGACTTACAAAATTTAAAGATATTTATGAAATTATGACTTCATTGTTAATTCATCACTCTTTATGCTATAAAAATCAAAATGCTCATCATTTCATTGTAGCTTAAAAGAACAACAAATAAATTTAAATCAAACACCTATTAATTTCGAACAACAAAATTAGTCCCTTTTTTCCAGTACTACTTCGTAGTCGTCGGTCGCCTTCATCATAATGTCAATTTTGGATTTTATATGAGGGATAGGTCCAGACTCCGCCGCAGCAACTATTTTGTATCTTCTAAGTATCGTCGATAGAGCAGTCTTCACTGACATCAATGCATACTGATATCCTATTTGAATAAAAAAATATATCAATTACTAAAAATATGCAGTAATTCACAAAAAAATTATAATTGTAACATTCATAAATTTATAATTGTAGTAATATCAATATGTAGTTACGATTTGAGACATGAAAACTAATCTGACTAATAATCTGAATAACGATTAGTTGCAAATACATTTTTAAATGTGTTCTAAATTGCATGCGTTTTAAACTATTAGTAAAAAGTTTTAAAAAAATATTTCTGGAAATCCATATAGCCATATATCCATGAACGGATTAGCAATATGTAGGTGTTTATTCTATTTCCACGTGAGTTAAACACGCTTTCTGTTTCCCACCAAATTAGCAAATAAACAGTATGATACTGGATAGTATGATCTTAAGAATTTTAAAAGCTTGTAATATTTGTGAAAAATTTCAAATTATTTAAAACTGAAAAGCATCTTTGAGAAAATCGTTGAGCTAGTGCTAAATCTTCTATAAGTACCATTATCATTTAGCACCACGTGAGATAATAATCACGCAACTCCTGTCCTGGTTCCCGACTACATATCATATAATCGCAAATATGGCCATCCCACTAGATGAATTGACGACATCGTTAAAGGCATGCCAAATTATCGAGCAGTGTGGCATTCCAAGGGTTTATTTGTTCAACAGTGTACTTCTTTCTATTAAATATGATAACACAATTTAAGCTAGTAAATTCCTGTTTAATAATAATAATAATAATATGCTTTATTGTACACGAAAAAAGAAAAAAGTACAAAACTAAACAAAATATTTATCAAATATTGGTCATCAAAAGGCGACCTTATTGCTACACAGCAATTTCTTCCAGGCAACCTCAGAAATTTATCAAAAGAAATTGTTATTAAAAGTAGGTTTGAGGGGATTTGAGCCATTTTATACTGCGTACTGTGGAGAAGTAGCACTGACCTACGCAGTTCCTGGGTCCACTGCTAAACGGCATGTAGCTGCATGGAGGCAGCAACTTGAAGCGTTCGGGTGCGAACCTATCTGGATCGAAGCATTCCGCGTCCGGACCCCAGTATTTGGGGTCTCGGTGAATTCCCCAGATGCTTACTACTATACCCGAACCAGCTGGAAGAACTATTCCCGAAGCTAACAGAATAGGAAACCCCATTAAAGTATTTGGCAGATAAACTAACTTACTTATTAAAACCAAAACGAAAAAAAAACTTCTTTAAATATAAATACAGCGCGTCGTTACCATCGCGACAATAAATGAACATACGTCTAACGCTACTTGCCAATAATCATAAAAAAATATTAACGTTAAACTAAATCCATAATTAAAAAAGAATATTTTTCAAACAAACTAATTAAGTAAAAAAGAAACAAAATTTGTAACATCCTATACAACTCGCGTCACAGCGTCGTATTACAAGCCTTTCCTTCTAACAGTGTTTTGTCTCTTTTAAATTCATTCAACCCATTCATATGCTTTGTGACCTTTACAAATGAACTTTACGTTACGCTTTTATAGGTGTTCTAAAATTCTTTGTTTTATAAAATTTAATAACTCTGTAAATATTGATGTTTAAAGAATTTAAATGTTTAATACAACTTTAAAAAGTTATCCCCTATATGCGTGTTCATTTATTGTCGCGATGGTAACGACACGCTGTATATGTGAGCACGTTTTGGCCAAAAAAACACTTTTAAACTTACGTAAAATAATGTCCTGCAAAACCTTTCTTATGATAAAAGGAACAGGAGGAAATAATCTAAGTGACTCTTTAACCACTCTTTCCAGGTATTTCAATTTTAACAAATCGTCTTTAACCAACGGTCGATCAGAATCACCAAATACTTCTTGCATCCTAAAAATAAAATTTACCAAACATAAGTTACAGTTCAACTTTCTTCCGTACGTTATAGACCTAAATTACTGTGTTATTAATTTTCTAAATTGTTTTGGTATATTTTGTTCAAAAACGCATATACGGAGTGAAATTGAAATCATCACCATCCTGTATAGGCGTTGGACACAACTGAATGCATTAGGGATTAACTTACAAATTTTAGTACTAATAAAATTGATAATTGTTTACAGTTTTTTTCATCTGTATTTATAATATTTTTCGTCTTTATTAACAATATTAACATATCGCAATGTGATCCCAGGACAGTTCACTCAATGTTACTAGATTTTTTTAGATTTTCCGTACTTGAATTAATAACATCTCTGACATGCGTAGTTTTAGTTGAAGTAAAACGAGTATCAAATCTATATTATTTAACAACTCTCCTATCAGCCAACGATGTCAGAGACCACGTCTCGGAAAACGTAGTGTCGGACGTCCCCCTGCCGACCGATGACCTGAGAAAGGTTGCTGCTAGTGCCTGGATAAGGAAAGCGGAAGATCGTGCTCTGCGGAGTGCCTATGTCCAGCAGTGGACCGCAAAAGGCTGATTGGATTGGATTGGATGCACATTGCATTAGCACAAAACTAATAATTAAAAGGAAAACTCAGGAGAACTTACTCAAAAGTTATCGACAGAATCAGTCAACTCTCATATTTATGAGAGTTGACAGAATCAGTCAACTCTCATATTTAAGAATGTATGTATGTATGCGTATATATTATTATATTTGTAAAAATGATTTGTCTTTTTGTATATGTTATTGAAGTTATACTTGTTCTGGCGCGTTTGAGAAAAGTATGAGAGTAAAATTATGACGCGCGCGCACACCGACACCGATATGATGAAGTTGGTGGCAAAGCGACCAAATTTGATCAACTTCACGGTATTACCATATATAACAACTCTTTGACAGATACCTATTTCAAGTTCCAGTTATTTAATTAAACCATTATAAATTTTAATTAGTTCTGCAAATAGTATCTTAGTTTCAAAGGATGCTTATGATTTCAATTTCTAGCTGAATTATTAACCCTGAATATATATATATATCTAAAGCATAACATTTGATATTATTTAACTACATGTAATTTAAAAAAATCGAACTAACTCCTGTACTACTTTTTCTTGAATCTTTGGGTACATTCCTAGTAATTTCAGGGTATACCCAATGGCCACTGCAGACGTGTCAGTGCCAGCGATCGTCAAAGTGAGCACTTCTTCTCTTAATTCTATATTATTATATCCCTTCTCACCACCCGATAGTCTGATCAGATGATCAAGGAAGGTCTGATTCTGGTAACTTCCCAAATCTGAAAAAATATAATTCAACTCACTTAGTAAAATGTGTAGACAGAAACATGGTATGAACAATTATTTATCTGATGTTACTTCCTTACTTATAATATTATCCTTACTAATATTATAAAGGCGAAAGTTTGTATGTATGGATGGATGTTTATTACTCTTTCGCGCAAATACTACTGAATGGATTCTAATGAAACTTTACAATAACATAGCTTATACATCAGAATAACACATAGGCTATAAATTATATACATATTTTATGTATATCTGTCTTTCTGTCTGAATGTTACGCCTTCAGCCTATTCTACGCAGATTCTCTATTCTAGTAGCGGGCAGCAGCTAGTATCTAATAAATGAAAAAAAATATCGAACAAGCCGAGAGAAATTTGCAATTGCAATCAGACTTAAATACAGTATCAAAAGGATGCCATAATGCAGCTCTGTTAATTAATATAAATGAACTGTATGAACTATACTAATATTTATATTACCCTAATATTAAACTGGCTACTTTTATAAGCTTTATACAAATGCCTAAATTCATTAAATAATTAAAATCTTTAAAAAGCAAAATCACACAAAATATTTATCATAATATTTTGTCATCCAGTACATGACCTTCAAATTAAAATCCTTAAAACGGTCTTTTTTTTCTCTCTAAACTCAATAAGCCATAATAATAATTAAGATATATTACTCAGCTATCTTTATATTTTCAGTCTATAGACTATGATCTGCAGTCCGTAGACTAATAAAGCTTGATCGAACGCAAAGCAGATAAGGTCAACTTGTGGGGAGTATTTAGGGATTTCGCTCATTTAGGGGAAAAAGATCAATATGCACGAGAGTAAAAAGAGTAAGGGAGTATGAGCATCAACTCAGGCCCAGTAGCCGTGATGGCACTTTTTAATTCCATAATTCAATAATGAACTATCACGGCAAGTTTTACATAAAGTAATTGGGACCATGAAGCTCCCTTTATTTGATTGAAGAAACGTTACTCCCGATAAATTGATTTCTTGGGTTTATGCGAATACTGTAGATGGTTAGATGAAAATATTTTATGGATTTTATAATAAATGCTATGAAATCCGCAAAACGTTTTATTTAATCCTGATGTAGTTGAAGTTATTGGTATCATATTCATACTGAATACGTATATATTAAGTCACATAAATACTACTGACTTAGCATATATTATTAGTTTGTTTGAAAATAATATAATATTGGCAAGTAGCGTTAGATGTTTATTCATTTAGGGTCGTGGTTGTAAAACCATGATGTATATGAAACTAAAATGAAATATAATTATACCCCACCTAATCGGGGGCGAGATTTATACCTTCAATGAATAGAATACAGAAATAAAATCTAGGAAACATATACAGTATATAATGTTGTAAAATGAATTACCAAAATTTCGGTCTGTTTTCGGTCGATTGATTTGTCCTTTTTTCAACTCTTCTCTACGTTTACATATCACCTTAAACAATTATTGAAATATTAAATATTTTTGCAGCTTTTGTAACAACCACTTTCGAGAAAAATAGATTATAATTCAAAAATCTTTTGTTGTTTCATAGATAGGCCGTCACAACTCCACTTTTTACACTGGAGTCTACAGTTAAAAGGTTGTCGACACATCTACATCCCCTTAGGTGTTGCAGATGTCCATGGGCGGTGATAATCACTTAACCTCAGGTGAACCGCCTGCTCGCTTGACAATGTTTCTCATTGAAATGGAGTACTACGTCCTGACAGAAGACCAACGTAAAGTAGAAGTATGTATTCTTAAGCTTTTCTAATGAATTACCTCTATAATTATTGTAATCCACTTTCGTTCCAGATTATATATTTTTCTTAGGTTGGTTGTTTGCTACTTAAACTTATAAAAAAATATATCTATATGTAAAAAATTATTTATCTTACCTCGTTAGTGAAATCGTGCAACACTTTTACACATTTCTTATATCTTGAGTATTGTGGAAAAAGCTTGTACAGCCACTCAGGTTGTAGCCATAAATGGAAAATCCTTTCACATACTAAATTCAGAACAGCTTGCATCGCACTTAAAAATGGAGTATTTGGATCGTCTTGTCCCTTAATTTTTATACCCATGACAGTCTCTAAAAACAAATAATATTAATGTGAATGAAATAATTAAAACAAATTAGAAGTCAGTTAAAATAATAAATCTTCTCTGATATCCGGGTCTGAATTAGTAATATAATTAATTAGTAATATAATTAAGTTAATATAATTAATATTTTAATATAATTTGAGATTGAGATCAACTCAAAAAGAGCTTATAGTATCGTAAGGTATTGCAGTGTCAGTGAGTTCGAATTTAATTTTATAAACTACAGAACCTCAAGCTAATAATAACCTCCAAGTATCTTCTCTGTTAAAATCAGGATGTTCTATTTCATTTAAAAGCCTCGTGAATCATCCTTGGCAGGAATCAACGTTCTTCTATGAGGTTTCGAGGTTTATTGTATGATTAGGGCGGTCTAAAATATGGTCAGTGCTTCGCATCAGCTACGCATTCCTTTACTCGGGTCTTTATTGATCTTTTGATTTGTCACACATAAGTTAATAGCCGTCATAGCTTACTGCTCAGGCGCTCGACCCCGATTGCTGGCAACAGGATTTGAACCCGAGTTCAAATCCTGTTGCCAGCACTTAATTTTTTAATTTGATATGCTAATTTATCGGAATAAACAAGAAAAAGACCGTGAGGATCCCTGTATACTTTCGCAATAATAACCAAAAAAATATTTCCAAGATACGTGAAGTACGCCAATCCGCAGTGGGGTCGCGTGGTGGACTATGCCCAAATGCCCTCTGACTATGCCCTAATGCCCTCTGAACAGAGAAGGCCTTTGACCAACAGTGGGAAATACATTAAACTTTTTTTTGATTCACACACATTCACAGTTGGTTAATTGATGTCCTTGATCACTGCGTTTAATTTAAATGTAAGTTATCAAGTAAAGTTGTTATACTCTTTGATTTGTATGTCCTTGTTTATTATGACAATATTATCACATTATGTTTTTATGAGATAAAAATTTGTAGAAAAATGTAAGAAAAGTTTGTCGCCTCTGTGAGGATTTGAACCTGCGTCCTCCGGGATACGCGCCCAACGCTTTAACAAATGAGCACACCGACAAAAATTATGTTCAAGCAATGTTTTACGTCATCTAGGGCGTTTCCTTTACACCAAACGACATTTTTGATAATGAAAGATTTGTGATTTTATTGCATAACCAAATTAAAATAACTGATGAATTCACTTCTAATCACTTCGGTAAGAACTTATGCAGGTGCAGTCGCGAGTATTTATAATGTAGTGTATTTAAAAGAAACAAGTACCGTTAATTTATTTCGTATATACTCTGAAATAAAGCAATTAATAATAAAAAATATTCCCTACGTACCGCATACAGCATCGAGCGTGTAAGTGCTTATGTAGGGCCACAAGCAAACTTTGCCGCGGCCTACGCACTCGCCCAATCTGGCAGCTAGTATTTCACTTTGATCCGAAAATATCTCCACGAAGTTATCTAATATTTTTGGACTAAAAGCGGGAACTAAGATCTTCCTTCGTTTCCTCCAAATCGCGACTAAAAAAGTAAAAAATAATGAATCTAAATGAATCGTAAAAGAAAATTAACTCGAAAATCGACCCGAAATTACAATTACTTTGTTCTTTTTATTAAAAGAAAAATCATTTACTCTCGTCATAATATACTACACAATGCCTATTAAAGAAAATCTGTAGATCAAATACAGCAGTCATTGATTTTTAGCAATTAGTCAATACTTTGATACTAACTACAGAAAGTTTAAAATTCTAAGGTTATTGGAAGATTTTCAGTGGCTCAAATTAGTGCTAGAGATCGGATCGAACCAATTGCCGATACTCTCACTTTTTGCATAGTTGTTGCAACAATGCTTTTTGTCATTGAAAACAGTTCATCCGATCAAATTGAAGTGCTACAATGATAAGGAGGTCCCTGAAATTTTTACTCCTTGTGGTTACTGCTATACTGTTGACCATTTCTTGTCAGCTTCTGACAGTTTGATATTTCAAAATTAGTATTATGAGGTGCTTAGGGTAAATAGCGAAGTTTATTTTTATTTTCTAAAAAAGTCAAAGTATTGACCAATTACTAAAAATTACTGTCCATTTATGACAATTTCGTGATCAATTTGGAGCACTTTTGTTGAGTTAAATTTTCATAACTTGGACGACTAAATAGATGAAGCCGTCTTATTAATGTCTTCGAGAGTGAATTTTTTCTTGTTCTTTGACGTCGAGTACAATCGTAAAAATTACTTTAAATACCTTCAGTAAAAATCAAAAATTACCGGGTGCAAATATACCACCGTTTCCTAAAACACGCCTCAGGAAACGATGCAAGTCATCTTTCTCCAAACAAGTCTTCAATACCATCTCCAGATCAACTGGATCCTGGACAACTGAATAGTTATGTATGATTATTATAATATACTATGAGTAAAATTCACATTTGGCATTAGGTAATTTCGGTGTGAAAACAAAATGTATATTAATACTAAGCGGAAATAATAAAAAAGTTTTGAAGACAGTTCATAGTTCATATATAAGTTTGTTTTGTTTTAGAAGTATTGAATTTCCATAATTTTACCAGATGTTTTTATCACATTACGTTATTCACATTACATTAAAAGTTATGAGTGCTTTTAAAATTAGTCTAAATTTTATTCTTTAATTAATTATTTTGGGCCAATTCTTCTTACATCTTTGTTTTTTTTTTTTTTTGTTTTGTCCCAAACTAATCAACGGTTGTAATATGGGTACTAGATAACTGATAAACAAACGTAAACATACTTTTTTTGTAAATAAATGAATATTATACATATATATATAAACACCCAGACACTAGAAAAATGTTTATCACACAATTTTCCCAATGGTGGGGATCGAACTCACACCCTCTGGCGCAGGAGGCAGGTACACTACCCACTACGCCATTCGGGATCGTATGTGGAGTTTACTTATTTAGTAAGTTATTTATCTAATTCAATAAAAACATTCAACGGTTAAAACTACATCTTTTGCATTTCGTCCGGTAAGTGAAATTCGGGAGACCAAGCACCGGAAATTTTCGGCCGTTCGCAAAGGTTAGCTCTGGTTTTGTCCCCACCCACCATCGAGCACCGCTTGCTCCATTGCCATCATTTTGAAATAAAACAAACTAACAATAAAGAAATAAAAGTAACTTACAAAAATAAAGTATATGGCCAAGCCAAGCCCGCAAAATACCATTGTTCTCCATCGTTTCATAACTATAATCTTTCAAAACGTTCAATATATCTGAAAAAAAAAGATGCAATCAATCATTGTGTTCGCCGATAGAAACCTTCAATAGCAGTAACTGTGGTAGGGCCACGTAAAAGCCTTCACTGTTGCACGAATGGGCAGGTCGGTCCATGGGAGTACCACGACCTCACAGAAGACCGGCATGAAGGTGAAGTGACTTCTCTGTTTAGTCTGGGGAGTGAGGTAGCTGGGGCTCACTTTATTAAGGGTGGTAGCGCATCTGCAATCCTACGGGTGTTGCAAATGCCATGGGTGCCAGCTCGCTTACCACCTTCTCACATAAAAAAGCCGGTCAAGTGTGAATCGAACTCAAGTCAAGGGTACCGTACCTACAGATGATACCGTATACTTGGTATATAATCACCACCGATTTTCTCAGAAACGGGTGGACCTAGCAAGTTGAAATTTATACCAGATACTGAGCTTTATGGTCGCTATTAGGTGTATAAAAAGATAAAATCAAGGTCCTGAGTAAACACGATAAAAAGATACCGGACAAATTTACATTTTCGCGAAATACTTTTTTACAAATTACTAATTATATAGCATCAACTATATAGGTTCAAGTTAATTCGAGTAGATTTAACTTATAAAAATATTAATAACCAAATCACTATACAATTGAGAAAGATTGGTATTTATCACATTTCATTATATTATTATACCTATATTATTATACCTACACATATTTTAATTCTCAAATGGTACTTAGTCATCAAAAATGTGAAACTTACCCTCAGTACTCCCGGTCAAGGTATGAGCTACTCCTATTAAGGGTATATCTCTCCGCATACCGGGTATCGCAGAAGCCAATCGGTACATGTGCCTCCTCCGGAATCTGAAGCTCACGAACCACGCCACAATGCAAAGGCACAACAACCAGAGAAACATGTCGAGCTCCACTTAATTATATCGCGAGGTGACTTGTATCTATCGGGGAAAATATAATATCTTAATTTATATACGCGCATGTCTTTATTTATATACACACACATTTATTTACACGAACGTCTTAATTCATATATATGCATGGCCAAACATGCAAATTAACAATATACTATTGCAATGGTGTCTTTTTCGCAACTGAGGACCTCGGTGTTAGGTAAGTATTTTTGATATCATTTCTTCTCATGTTTCTGATTATTTTAATAACAATGTAAGTATTAAGAGAATATGCACGCATCAATTGTTAACTGTGGTAGGGCCGCACAACAGTCTTCGCTGTTACGCTATAAGTACCCGCAGAATACCGATGTATAGTGACTGAAATTGAAATTTTATTCTTATGAGTTTGCTCTGGTGAGTGAGAAAAATAAACATATACATATAAATATTGTTTATAATTCATATATAAATAGGACCCAACCAGACGGAAGCCCTCGGCAGGGGAGACCAAACGGCCGAGGGTTAGGGTGGAAGGATGAGAAACCGGCGAGCGATGCGGGCGGTATCTAGGAGCACCGCCTTCTGCATTTGAGCTTGGAGCGTTCCGTCCCGGAGTCCCAGTCGCCTCTGATGTCCGGAGAGGCTAACTGGGATCAACCCATTCGCAGACACGACTATCGGGATAATTTCGGTCGGCACACCACCTCATTATTTTTTATTTTTATTTTTTCGAAAAACAAAATTTATTGTTTCAAATACACTTTTATAATTCCAATCGCTCATACAAATCACACACGCACGCACACACAAATAAAATACACACACAAATAAAATACACACACAAATAAAATACACACACGAATAAAATACACACACGAATAAAATACACACACGAATAAAATACACACAGACAGGCATGTCCAAAAATGAACATGCAAATGTTATTATATTTATTCATAATCTTTTATTGTTAAATTTGTTCTTGTTTATTATTTATTGTTAAATTATTATTGTTATTATTACTGTCATCGTCGTCATCTATCGATCTTACCAGGCTCCACTGAAAACCAGCAATCGCGAAATTTTTTCACAATGTAATGCTGAGTGGGTGACCTTTTTGGTGCATTGACTGATACTTTTTCATTGTTTTGTTATTTATGTTGTTTTTTTTTTGTACCAAATAAACGTTTCTTTCTTTATTTCTTTCTTTCTTTCTTTCTTTCCTCACATATCGGTCACCTCGTGAGCCAGGTCCAGATACTTCGTCTTCTTATCTGTTTCGGCTTTCACGAGGTTTTCGTCATATGGAATGGTAATGTCGACCAAAAATACCATAGCCCATACCATAGCCCGGTCCATCACCACAATATCAGTTTTGTTCACGACAACCGTCCTGTCCGTGATGATGGGCCGGTCCGAATAGAGCCTGGCGCGGTCATTTTCGAACACGGCCGGGGGCCCTATTTATTATTATTTTTATTATTTTTTTTATATTATTTATACTTAAAAGTTGACTACATCCAGAGCTTTTAAATATGAATTGTTCTAGAGTAGTTCTAAGTTTTAACCCTACAATTTTACGAATACGAATATTGGTAATGGCGACTTTTTGGTGAAAATAACAAGTTTTAATTATATTTCTTTCATTTCTATTAAAAGATTATTACTTATTTAATATTTTAATATTCACGGGTAAAATTATTTTTATGTGAAAAACACTAATGATCCTTAGTAAGTTAAATATACAAACATGTTTTGGTTTTATCCAACGCCACAGAAAATTCCATACTTTAAATGAATCACTGTTCGTATATGGATTCTATTCAAAACAATCTATGCCTCGACCTTCCCCTACAAGCAATGAAGCCTTTTAACAGATATGATCCAAGGTGCATAATTCCGCTTTACATTTGTTAACGCCTTTTTTTTATTAAAAACCCAACTGCTGCTTTATTTTTTAATGACACATGGATGGTATTTACTCATATCGACCAGCAAACAACGGGTTTTCGTTTAATACCCGGTCTAAAGCATTGCGGAATAGTAGAAAACAAAAATTCTTAACCTTTCCACAATAATTCAAAAGTTCCATAAATCATAACGTTACGACAATACGAAAAATCTTACGCCTTAAGCTTTGTTTTATGTGCGTCCATCACACGTGCTTGTACCGAAATTTTTGAATTTTTTTATATATTATATTATATTACGCATAACTTCAAATAAGATAAAATATAAATTATGTCATTGGCGGCAACTATTCTTTGCGAATAACGTGAGTAATAGTTGCGATATATGTTCTTAACGTAAATGTTATCAAATATTTCCACAAGATTCGCGATTCGCAAGGAATAAATATAGGTTAGGCTTAAAGTGTACAGTACAGTAATTTTTATCGCTATATTCTACCCATTTTGTAGAGTGTGCAAATGATATAATATGTTCGGTAAAAGGTTGTCAGTATACAAGCTACAATCTCTTAATAATTATAAAAAATTATGTAATAGAATATTAAAATAATAATAATACTTATGTCTATGTAAAAGTAAGATACGGTAATAAACATTTACAATAGAAAAGAAAACAAAATAACAAATAATTAAATAACAAAAAAGTAAAATGTTTGATAAAATTGCACATTACAGTTTTGACAAAAAATCATTATTTATTTGAGAAAAATTCGTTTATACAGTAATAATATTTTTCTGTTAACATGTCGCGTAGTTTTTTCTTCTACTTATTTTTCAAATTCATCTTACAAATTTATTTTTAAATACTTATTTTCATTATTTTGTATAAAACTTTGAACTAAAAAAATTACATGTACAAATATGTATGTATATTCCGTAGTTGAAACACTTTTCTCACAAGCTAATTGTTATTATTCAATAGACAAAAATGTTTGTTATACAATTACTTATGATAATTATTACTGGATCATATTAATTAAATCTCTCTCTTGCTCATTAAAAAAACCGTTCTACATCACTACATAGTATAAAATTTCAAGGTCGGTGGTAGGGCCACTCAACAGTGTTCGCTGTTGCAAGAATGGGCAGGTCCGTCCGGGTTAGTACCACGACCGGCGTAAAGTAGAAGTGTTGCACTTCTGCGTTTCGTTTGGTGAGTGAAGTAGCCAGGGCCCACATTATTAAGAGGTGGCAACGCATCTACACTTTCACTTAACATCAGGTGGACCGCCAACACGTTTTCCACTTTCTTACATAAAAAAAATACTTTTTACTAGATAGAGTGATTCAAAAGGAAGGTCTTGTGACCTTGATCTTGAATGTACAAAACATTGCATCCGTGCGAAGCCGGGGCGGGTCGCTAGTCAAGAATAACGCAAATCTTTTCAAAAAGTATATTGTTTGCTTAAATCTAATAAATATCATAGATTCATATCTGTACCGCTTCTGAAAAACTGATACATTTTAAGATCGTCTAAAAAGCTTCAAAACTTTAAAACCTTATTTTAATTTTCTGCTCCTCTACAGTTACCATATTTCCTTATATTTATTAGTTCTTTATATATATACTTAACTTTAATAAATAACTTTATATATCTTTACATTTTTTTACTTAAATTATATTTTTTATAAATATTGTTCTACTATCCTGGTAAGGTTGTTTTTCGCGTAATGGGATTTAACACATAGATTAACACACAGATACTAACACATAGATACTGTTTACGTTTTACTTTTTAAAGATACATTTAAATTTGACATAAAAGTCTATATAAAATTATCTTTCTTGAATTGATGTAGTATCTGATGGCAAATTTAGATATAAGGATAGTGTACACTTCGTCCTAAATTATATTTACATATATAACTTAGGGCGAAGTATAGAATAGCAATGATGAGAGCACATTCCTATAAACATTAATATATTATTATTTTTATATATTTAGTTAGTATTTTTTCAATTTAATTAACTAGTTAATAACTTTATTGTTAATAAATTGTTAT